CAGTCATTATAGCTACTTAGAAGTTGGCCTACCGTTGATCTGCCTTTTAAGTATCCAAATTGATTTTGGTTTAATAGTTGATGTTCTGTCCAGAAGGCTATGACTCTTGATCGTACTATTTTCTCTGCCACTTTACAAATGATAGATGTCAACGAGATTTGACGGTAATTTTTTAAACCAAATCGAGTAAATTTAATAGCGCCACAGCTGGATTTTGGGAGCTTAAACAAATCAGGCTGACCCGGAAACCACATAGAGTTTAGAACAGGTTCTTTATCTTCAGTCCATCGGAAATCAGGGACGTACTTAAGGCCTACAAACATTTTGATATCTTTGCTCACTTGTTTGCCGGTCACAAAAAAATCCAAACTTGCGCCGAGGCTTCTAATTATGCTTTTGCTGCTTAAAACAGCAAGGAGGCCGTTTTTGTGCCGGCAAATTTGTCTTGCTTCATACCATGTCCTGTGGACCTTGGAAATTTCAAATCTAAAACATGCTGTATTAGCACGAATCCAGCCCTTTTCACATTGCAACGACTGACCTGTCAATGATAAAGGTGCTTCTAATCAGACGTGAAAGTATTGTAATGATTGAGTTTGTAAAACAAAAGATTGAATGTTGTGATATGGATTAATGCATCTGAATGTTGGAGGGAGGGAGGAAGGAAGGGAGGGAGGGAGGGAGGGGAATAGATGGATGGATGGATTCGATAGTTGGAATGGAATGCATGGTGGACATTATTTATGGCTATGGCAGGACAATATTTTTTTCGTTGTCGTGTCAACCAAACTCCACGCTTGTCAGTTGCATTTACTTACTTGCGCTTTTCATGCAAAGATAACTAGAAAGCTTTGAATTGCACGAAACAGCTTTCAAAGTCCACTCATTTCTGGAATGATCTTTCAAAAGTACACCACATTTACCAATCGAACTCTTGCTTTCATTATTAAGCCGAAAATCTTTAGCAGTTTCCTTGTTATTTATCCAGAGCCATCGGTGCCCATCGGTAGCCTCTACCCCAACGAAAAACCTTTGATACAATATGTCTACCCCCATAAATACTAATGGTTTGAAATAGTTGTGGAAATAGTTCATGAACTCATTTGTCGTTTTAGGGGTAGCCAGTTTGCCTCCTCGTCTTCGGCAGGCGTCATTGGAATAGACCCAGTCTAATTTTGTCGTAATTAACCTGATGCAAGAAGGAGCAACAAAATGCCATCCAGGGAGACATGCAGATGACCCTATGAAGGTAACGAAAAGTTAACACCTTTCAAAAAATTACATTGCTCTTAAAACCAATCTAATCCAATGGACAAGACAAGATTAGCAAAGACCCGAGTGTTTTTKGTGGATGGTAGTATGTTAGTTTGAACATAACAGAAACATATTTTCCCTCGAATTTCAATCTAATCTTGAACAAAAATAATTTAGCTTTTAGATTCAAAAACTTACTAAATTTGGTTGTTTTTGCGTAAAAGAATCCTTTTATGGCTTCTTGGCAGCATTTCTTGTCACCTTCCAATGCGATTCCATCTGACGGCAACCTATCCGATCGCCGCATCAATAGAATCTTACTTTGTCCAACCGCCTTTCTTTTCGACCCGTAAAAAAATTCGATAGGAATGCACTTCAAGTCAGCAGTCGAGAATTTATTCGAAGCGACTTCCTTGGTACATACAGGTTCTGGATAGATGAAATAAAGAACCTCGTCAGGACTGGTTTGAGTTTGTTTTGCAGTGAAAGAAAAGTCGTATGTCCAGTCATCATAGACAAAACTGATTGACGTATGGATTTTGAAGGAACTGTGACTTGTTTCCATTTTGTAGTAAACATGAACCCATCGAACTGCTGTAATAGAATAGAGCGATTTCTGTGAGACGAAAACACTCGACAACAATGCACAGAATTGATTGTCCAAGGACGCATATACAGAGGGGTGGAGTGAACGGCTAGCCAACCCCATTCTCTCTTTGGAGTTGAAATTAATAGAAATAAAAGATAAGATAAGAACTAAAAAGGATACCATGTGATGCCTTTCTAGGTAACATTCACCCCCCACTATTGAAATCGTTTTGGATCCGCCACTGTTATCATTTAAAGTGTCAACTCGCGTTTGTTCAGAGTAAGAGAGTTCCGGAAAATTTCAGGGAAAGCGCCGTCTCTGCGGCTTCGTTTTGTTTTATTTATTTATATATTTTATATTTCCGAGGCCCTGCTTTAGGCATAAGACAAATAACCGTCAGAATTTTATTAGCCTTTCCCAAGTTAAGGGAAAAACTGTCTTTATTTGCACACAAGGAACAATACTGAACGATTAACAGACGTGTTCAGTTTACGAAACTTAAAATGAAATGTATAATATAAACTAATAACTTCAAACATATATCTATAGTAAGAATACACAGGTGATTATCTCGCGCGCTGATTAGTGGAGAAGTTCATACTATCACACGATAATCACCTCCAGCGATAATCCAAAATGGTGGCCAGCCGCTTTGTTGCTGTTACCGGTAAAGAATGGCTTTTATCTTTTTTTTTTTTTGAAAGAATCACCTGTGTATTTATACTAAAATAATTATTTGCCCCAGCCTCAGTGAATATCGGAGAATAATTGTTAAATATCTACAGTACACAATGCTTATGAATTATATAAAATTAAGTAGCCTTCTATTAATAAAAACACTTTTTAAAACGTTCAGTTCTTTGTTCTGGGTATTATTACTATTTATTTCTCAATTGACACGGTTTTCTTTGTTATTCACAAGGCTTTATTTTTGTTATAACCCTCATTATAAATGCGAGGTCAATATATAGTTATTAACCCGGTTGATAACTATATATAGACCGTTCGCATTTATAATGAGCAACATTTGATAGAAAACCTTCTCAATTGAGAAATAAAATACTTAATTACCTCGAACGAAGGCAATAAGCCTATACATCCCTCGGGCCTGCGGCCCTCGGGATGTATATGGCTTATTGCCTCCGTTCGAGGTAATTAACTCTTACTTCTTAAATCCCGATTAAATAATTAACTTACAAATTAGTTGGCATTGTCCTTTAGTAAAGGTCATCTCATCAATTGCAGCGTTATTCTTACTAGTACCTACTATGCCTTCTATAACCACCTAAAGAAAAATTACAAGAAAATGATTATAGTCACTTTATACTTAGCAACACAACTGGAAACGTATAAAAAGCTTGTTTTAGTTCAAGCCAACCTGAATATGGACAGCTATGAACCCAAACCCAGACCCAGTATGGGACGACGCTCCCTGTGCTCCTACTAAATGGGCTTTTGATCTAGTAATATGCTGGCTCACTAACCCTGTATGGGAGTTGGCTGCTTCTAGTAGTGTGCTGGGAAAATGTTGGCTCACAGACACGTACAGTATGGTACGATGTTCATAGTAATGGGCTACTGATATAGGAATATGTTTCTGACAGACCTTATCCCCCTCAGTATGAGAGATTGATGCTTCTAGTAATGGGCTGGGAATATTGTGGTTCAAAGACCCAGTATGGGACGATGCTCCTAGTAATGTACTCCTGAACCGGGAATATGCTGGCCCACAGAGACCCAGTACTCTAAGTGTTATTGGCTTCTAGGCCCGGTTGTACAAAAGGTGCACGAATAACGCTATCCGACGGATAAATCCTATCCAGTGGATTAATTCATTGGATAACAGCATCGACTTCTCGACTGGATAAGGATTTATCCATCGGATTGCACAATCCACCCTTCGTACAACCGCGCCCAGATCTGCAAATATGCTGGCTTACAGACCCAGTCTGATGGATACTTTAACTTTCCTAAATTCTCACTAGTAGAAGATAATATAGGTAAGTTGTAGTGCGTGGGAACGAGGTTATTCCGGGCGAAAGCCCTTGGAATTAAATTCGGAAAAATTAATTTCCGACCTCGCTGGGAATCGAACCCACGACCTTCGGAACTGTACTACCGATGCTCTACCAGCTGAGCTAGAGGTCAGACTGAGAGCAGGCCGGGGTGAAATAGATGTTAGGTCGCGGTAATTATGATGCAAAGATGAGAGTATGTGGACCGCGTGGCACTAATGAAATAGTAGAAGATGAAAATTCTCACTAAACGTTTTTATAGTTTTATATAGGGACGTTAATGAGGGCTATTCCACCTGGAATTTCTGTTTCTCATCCAAGTAAACAGTAGTCTTCCTCCACCGGTTGAACTGATTCCTCGATTTTATCCACACAGGTCTCAGAGTGCCATTTATCTTGATGTATACCATGACTGTACCCATGTTTATACCATACATGTGATACATGAACGTCATGCAGTATGTTCCTTGGATGTATGGGCTGATGATCCTTGCTCTGTCACCATGTCTGCCAGACGATGCATTCACATAAAGGTAACCACCTATTGGATAATTATATGATAAATATCATTATAACATGGGTTTGATATGACGCGTGCTGCGATTGGATGTCTACTACGAAAACGAAATGATTAAGCACGCGCGTGTAGACAATGGGGACACTTACTACCACTACCAGGATCTCTTGCACACTTTCTTTTGTTCAGTTAAGGTATTAGGATACATTTACGACCACTATGCGCGCAAACGTAAATAACGCGCTGGCTTTATAGTATAACACAAACAAAATATACATTTTCTGAAAGCTGAATAATTATAGTTAATTTTCAAAATACGATTTTTTTTATTGTTGTTAACATTATTGCCCTCGAAGCGAAATTTGACCATGCCTCAGTGAAAACGTTAACGGACACGTACATTTTAA